CAATTAAAGACCCCAGGTAGACATAAATGTTGATCTATAAACAAAGAAATGGGTTGTGCTTAGGGCTGGAAAATGTAGAAAAATTTAAAATAATATATTTAGTTCACCTTTATAAAAGGGCAACAAATCATGAAAAGCTCTCAAAAACTAGAAGTTTAATGGAGAACAACAAAAAAAGGCAAAAGAAAAGAGATCATCTCATTTATAACTTGGTACAATAACAGCCATATATTTCATGGATGAACACTATTTTACCTAAAAATTTTAACTTAAAACATGAAAGCATGTTTCATTACTTCAAGCGATTCATTCAAACCAAGCAAGTAGATGAATAATACACTGCAGGTATTTAAAGGTTATCTACATTAAAACATTTGAAAATAGGTCTGGCAGGTGGAGTGGTGGTTAAAGGCACTGGATTTTCACATGGTCAACCACAGTTCGAGTCCCAGACCTGGCAGCTTGCTTTCTCGCATTCCCTTTCTCTCTTTGGTCAAATTAAAAAAAAATAACAAATAAAATTAAGTAAATAAATAATTGTTTTTTTAAAACATAAAAATACTTATCTTTCTTTTGTATAATTAGTTAATTCACCTTTTTATTGTGTACTATTAATTAGCAAAAAGATACACCACAGAGAATCTGAGGTTTGGAATGCAGCAGAGCCAGAGTCTCAATATGATTCACTGGCAACAGGAACTTCCTTTATCACCCTGAGTCATAAATATTTTGGCTCCTTTGGTTTCTATTGTGAGCTGAGAGCAGAAATTTGTTATATACAGCCTGAACAAACAGGGGATTATTAGTCCATGTCATTCGCGTTCTTTTTTCCTACAAAGGCTCAAGCATTTATTTATGCATACATATAGACATACACACATGCATATGTACTATAGGGAGTGTGCACTCGCCAGAGACAGAAAGAGGGAGGGAAAGCAAGAGATCATCCCCGGGAAGGATGCCACGCCACAGACCCGTCTCCTTCATTCTTCTGTCAGGAGTTTGGGCACACATGCACCCACACCTGGTGTGATTTTAAAGCTGCTGGATCCAGGACTCGAACTGCACAATCGGCCAACTGGGATCCAGCCTCATTAACTTCCATGCCACTTGGTGGCCCAATTTTACATTTATGATTCATTCATTTCTGAATCAAAGAAAAGGCTTATTATTTTGTTCCCACACTTCCCTAAATAAATAGAACTTGCATACTTGTGAATTTCATAGAAACCCTGGTACAAATCATTTTACCTCTGTCACTTGGTATCAGAGAGCAGTTGTAGAAAAATAGTATTGCTTAATAAGCATGTTTGTATACAAGCATGCAAAAATGAATAAGAACCTTTATTTCATGTGTTTGTTGACTCCAGGCTTTTTTTTTTCTTTTGTGAATTTTGAGAATTGCCTAGTGACATCTTGACCTACTTTTCTTTTGTGTTGTTCATATTCTGATTTCTAAGAGTATTCTCATATTTTAATAATATTAATACTTTACAGGTTTTACATTTTTCCAAATTTCTCTTTCATTTCTTTTTTTTTTTTTTTTTAGAGGTTTTTTGTTATAGGGAGCGTTCTTAAGCTAGAAGCTATTAGGGATATCAAAAGAATAGGGTTTTATCAGCTCCGTGTCTCTAGGACACAAAAGGGACTCCAAGGGGGTGCCTGTTAACAAATTCAAGTCATAAAATCAGAGCAGGCCCATTTGGATGGATGTACAGTTGCAGAGAGGAAAAAGAAATGCCTCTATGTGGGAGTCCAGCGACATAGCCATTATGCTAACTGCTGGTTCCCTCTTTCATTTCTAAGTACAGGAATTTTTTTTTTTTTTTTGAGAGGTTTTTGCTGTAGGGCACGTGCGCTCACTAGAAAGACAGAGAGAGTCAGGAAGAGAAAGAGAAATCACCTCGCAGGGGCGATGGTCACGCCGCAATCCCTTCTCCATTCTCCTCTCAGGATCTTGGGCACTCATGCACACAATGCCCGGCATGAGTTTAAGCCACCGGGTCCGGGACTCAAACCACAGTCGACTACATGGGAGTCTAGCGACATAGCCAACTGCTAGTCCCTCATGCACAATTTTATGGAGTGGCCGGTTTGGATATGAAAACTCCACAGTCAGAACCCTGCCGACCTGAATAGGGTTCCAAGGCAGTCCCAATTTTACTAGCTACATTCACAGAAGGGCGAAGTCAGGCATCAGGGATTTTCTCTGCTTTATTTCTTCAGTTTGCCTTTCCCCCTTTCTTTCTAACGACATACTCTAGTAATTTGTATTTTGTGTGAGTATAGCTATATCAGCTTTGATTCTGTAAGTGCCCTTCTGTGTCTAAGTAAAGTGACATTCTCTGCATACACTAGCCACAAATGCAAATAGCTTTCCGTGGTCACAGAGGAGAGAACACAGACCCAGGGGACTTACTCTCACCTCCACCTCTTAGACCACATCTATGCTTTTCCCCTAAAGTGGCTAGTTTACCAGCTCAGTTATTTATGTTCAAAAGAAGGCCTTAGCTCCAGAGTTTTCTCACAGTGTTCTGCTTTGTAATTTTTTTCATCTCTAGTCTTATTGAGAACCACCCAAATCAGCTCTATCTTGGTTAAATTTCACCATGAAAATAGATTTCATGTAAAACTTCATTCTACCTTTCGGAAAGCCAGCTTGAAATTAGGATGAGTGGTTTCAGTAATAGTGGTTTGTGAAGAGACTGTGTTCCTGAGGTCACGTCTAAGCTACGGAGATGATAATCTACTCTAATTCTTTCTTGACTGTAGTAGCTGGGGAGGTTTGAGGGGAACGTGAGGCCAGGGATCCGCACGGCTGTGTGACGCAGGTCACAGCTTATCTGTGCTCGGCTGTGAAGGGGGAATAAAAAAGCCTCCTCAGAAGCTACTGTGACGTAATTTACTGAAAGACTTTTTACCCTTTAACTGGGTCTAGGACACACCCTGACATTTTTACCCTGCTTAGGAAAGGGACCAAAATGTGATTAAGCCTGGACTTCCTGGTCATTTAATCACGCTCCTCAGTCCTACACTGGATCCAGGTGAACGTGACTTAGTCCTAAGGAGTTCACTGTCCTTTGACACAGCAGATAAAAACGGAGGCCATGAGAACCATGAACATGGGTAACAGAGCCCTTGGCTCCTTCCACAGATGCGGTGACACAGCCCACAGGGTGATGCGCAAACAGACGACAACATGTAGAAAAGCATGCCAGGACGCGGCGAGGTGAAACCCACACGAGCAAGATGATGTTAAGTAGCTGCTCCCTGGGATGGGGAGAACATGCGGGAACATGGATGAAGCCCTGCCAAAACAGTCCTGTCCCTAGGCTAAATCCATCATGTGAGTCGGGGACAACAGCTCCATCCTCCCAGGGCTGTGACAGGAAGACAACACGCGTAGACTTGCCAGAGTTCCTGACCCAAGGTAACGCTGGACGTTCACGAAGCGGTGACTCTCATTAGACCCAAATCTACAGGTGGGAGCTGCGGACACCGCAGCAACGTCAGCCCGGTGCTGAGCTCCCCAGAGCAGGGCGGGCCTCACGGCTGCGGCTTGAGACGGCACTTCCACTTCGCAGGTTCAGGACGGCAGCGCGGCCGCCTCGCACAGGCTCTCCTGCCGCCGCGCGGGAAGGAAGGGTAGGCCTGGTTGGTTCGATCCTAGGCAGGCCCATACTGGCCCACTCCTGTCCCAGCAGGGAGTGACAGTGGAGTCGCCCTCTCTTCTGTCTGGGGGCAGAGCGGGCGCTGGCTCCCAGGATGGCAGGCCACCGGCTCCCAGCCCTCCCGACTGCACCTGTCCAGCAGACGCCGCCGCGCCCTCCGTCCTGCGCTCACGCCTCGCTGCTGCAGGGCCCGGCCGCCAGTCCCAGCCAGGGAGGATATCGCCTCGCAAAGGGGTGGGGAGGCTGCAGGTTCCCTACCCCTCGACCACCGTTGGCTTGTGCGGGGACCCTCAGCCGCCAACGTGATTCTGATGGAGACCGGCGTGGGTGGACAGCCTGGACGAAGCCGGCCGCGCCGAGGCCCCGCGCGTGTGACCGTGTATCCGCCCCGCCCTGCACGTGCTCTCAACGCCAGTGTAGCTCGGAGCTGAGCGCGCCGTGTCCCTGCCTAGACAGAGCACGGGCGTTTCCTGTTCGCCGTCCACAGCCTCGCCTTCCTCTAACACAGCTTGGTAACTGCGCTGACAACGGACGGCAGTGGGAGGGCGCTGTCCAGGATGGCCGCCCGCCTGAGTTTTAATGACCCATCATGGAGGCGTGCGGCCGGGAAGTGCAAGGCGATGGCCAGCTGAGGCCTGACCTGGCCTCGGGGTGAACGGAATGAGAAAGGTAGCAGAGCTGGCTGGGGGCTAACCCTTGTCACGTCATACTTGTTTTCCAGGGAGAGCACTCATATCTTATATCCATAAAATCAGTTTACTAAACGAATTATGCAATATACAGCCCAAACTTGTCATTCAGCTTTTTTTAATGAAATTTTTTCATTAAAAATGATCTCTTTTAAAATTTACCATAAAGTATGGTTTATTTTCTACACCTCAGTTTAAACACATCATCAAAGACATAATTATTAATGTCACGTGAGCATAAAAGGAGATTTATAAACCAGAACTGTTTTCTCTGGGAACAAACTTTCAAATGACTCACAATAAACCATAAATTTCACTGGTGAATTCCTAGAATAGAGCAGTTGGCTAACCCAGGTCTGTTCACCTCAAACAGGTAACAGGACAGAGGCCCGCAGTCTGAGCTTGCCACCCAGGCCAGCTGGGAGGACCCAAAAAAAGAATGACAGGATTTGCAGGAAGAGATGTATTGCAACAGACTCACCATTCACTGTGAACCATAATGGGGGAATAAGATAAAAACTGGCTCAGGTCAAAAGGTCAGAGGCAGGCCAAGGGGAAGTCCCGGACATTTTCCTGGCACCCCCCAGAGGGAGGGGGTTTACCAACCTGCCCTAGGCATGGTCTCTTGATATTCAGAACCTGCCCCACAACAACAGGAGCAAACACACACTTCTCCCTTACCTAGCCTTGCATTTACGTATATTCTGGGAATATGGCAGCATGGGATTTCAGGCCAGTTCTTGAGACTTCAGAAACTCCAGCACTAGCCACTGTTATCAAATCCTCTTTCTTACTCCTATGAGAACCTGAGATGCTTTTTTCGGTATCTAAAAATTTTGAAGTTATAGTGAAAATGTTATAAAAACTACAGATAAAGTGGGAAAAAAGCTACCCATTCCTCGTTCATGTCGCTCTGTCCTCCTCGGAGAGCATCTATAAACCATAAGCAGCCAGGACACTTGGAGCCCTCCTGGGCAGTGCCTGGCCATGGACGCTGGGCAGTGCCTGGCCATGGACGCTGGGCAGTTGGGCCTCGCCAGCCACACCCTCTAATAAGCCAGAGGGGTTTCCTTTTGTCCCCACGATCTCACTTTCAGCAAAGTTCGACATGCTATTGTGGCTGTTTTACTGTACCCAACAAGGAACAGGAAAGTCAAGAACCAAAGGAAATGTTTTCTGTGAAATGATCTTGCAATAGGCATTAAGAAGCCCCGCTGAATTTCAAAGAAAAGGTCTGAGAAGTGTTGCCTGCTAGAAGCCTAAGCCAGGAGGAACGAGGAGGAACTGTAATTTGAGGAGTCAGGCTCATTTCTGATACAGAATGATTACAAATACAAACACTGCCCATTTGGGCTCCCAGTCAGTAACCGGCTGGATTTCCATGTGGCCACTCCTACTTCTCACGCTCCCCTCCTGGGCTATACCCTGCAGAGCTTCAGTGGGAAGTTCTCGGTGATGAGGTGATCAGCATGAAGCAGCACGACAATGTTGACCTCAAACTCTGAGAAAAGAGCAGACAGAGAGGATTTGTGTTTGCTTGCACTGAAAAGCAGAAACCAGTGCCAACTCCACTTCAGATGCAGCAAGCTCCAGCAGTGAGGGCATGTCCAGGTGCCATGTGGAGTTCTGCATTTCTGTCCCATGCAGTGTCACCTTGAACTTCAGCAAAGGCTAGTTTTGTAACCGGTTTATCTTTGTAAGTTTCTCTAAGTTAATTTCTATCTTCTTACCTTGGAACGTAAGTCAAAAGCCTTTCCCAACCACACTCTCCTTGTCCTCTTTACTGAAGAGAATACTCTAGAATCCCCTCAACTCATTTGCATTCTTTTGCTCTATTTTTACATTTCCTACAGTTCTTAATGGCATGGAAAACTCTGAACTGGCCCACAGCTGTCTGGGTACCTGTCTCCAATCCCCAAGGGAGAAACAACCTTCAGAAAGAGCAGACAGTTAATTGCTGTTCCTTTGGATACTAGATAATTTATCTAAAACAAGGAAGAGGCAGAGGCGCCATAGCACATGCCATGTGGGCGCTGCGTTCGAGCCGCTTCCTCAGCAGCCTTCCGATGACTGTCATAAAATAGCATGCAAAACACTCCGGTGCTTAATGCACAGCATGGCAGGAAGAAATCATTTTTGTACCTCTTTGAGGCGTATGGAGCAAAACCAAGCTGAGACATCAACAGACAAGATACCCCCTCCAACTCTAAATTGAGGTATGCTGAAACATAAAAAACGCAAACCAGAATACCATGTGTAATGTGCCCGGGGCTTTAAAGGAAACCCATGTGGTGCTGGCCACAGACGGAGCAGCACCAGGACAGCAGAGGGGCTGGTGAGGGAGGCAGTGGTTTGAGTGAAGAAAGTAGGTCAGGCGGGAGGGAACTCCCTCTGCACTTGAGGCCCCTGGGACCTCTGCATTTATACTGTCAGCGCACACTCCCTATTTGATCACAACTGCCAATAGGTTTTTCGAAGTTCCCATTTCTCAGCGAAGCAGTACGATTAAGCAGAAGCAAGGACCAAACCCCCTCCCCACTACCTGTTCCTGCCAGTGAGCCTCAGGTCCAGCCCAGCAGGCTGTCCCAGCAGAGCCTGGGGGCCCTCTGTTCAGATCAACCTTGGCCCTACACAGCTGGGACTGCAGTCACAGTCCCTTCCTACTGGGGCTTTGTTCAGATCCTTGTTAAGGGGGTGACCTCCCAACTGAGTTTCATTAACATGATGGTACTTGTTATTAGAAAATCATGGTAACCTCCCTTGGGGAAGTTTGTCTCTCCCAGGTGTCTCCGGGCAGACACTGCTGTCTTTTCATGTGTTTGGTGAACACCTGAGTCTGCTGCCCTTTTTGGTCCTGACACAAGTGTCCTGACCTGTTATGCTCTTGCTACAAAGGGCCCAAAGAATTCCACACATATTACACTGTGTGTCTAACCCCACCAGTCACCTGTGCTCCAGGATATGCTCTACAGCAGGCACAAAAAGCCAAACAAGTACTCAGTGATTTGGAAGCAGGTATCATGAACATTCCCGCATGTAAAACGAACTTTGGTGATGAAACTGAACTTGGTGTGTGTGTGTATCTGTGTGTGTGTGTGTATTTTTTAAGTGTATTTATTTTTCTCCATGAGACAGACAGACACCCCCAACAGGGTCTCCACACTGTGACCCACCCGTGGTCTCGGCTGGCCCACATCATGGACACGTGTGTGCCCTGTGTGCCCAGGGAGGGTCTGGGTATAAACCTTCCCCATACGGGTCCACTTGAGTTACCACTGTGCCACTGCCTGGCCCTCTTACTTAGATTTTAAATTACACTATTTGGAAATTTTAAAGTAAAATCATAGCATACATTAAAAAAAAATGATTCCCACTGAACTAATAATGCACATTCAAAGATTTAGAGAAAATACACTATTAATAAAAAAAAAAAAACCTTACAATCTCAGGGATAAGTTCCCACTTCTCAGGGAAGCAGTACAATTAAACAGAAGTAATGCAAACCCCGGACTACATGTGACTGCCAGTGAGCCTCAGGCACACTCAGCAGGCTGTCCCAGCAAAGCCTGGGGGCCCCACAGCAAGGTTGTGTCAGCTGGGGCTGCAGTCACAGTTCCATCCTTCTGGAGCTTTGTTCCCGTCCTTGTAAGGGGGTGACCTCCCAACTGAGTTTCATTAACATGATGATACTTGTTAGAAGGGATGTACCATCAAAATATCTGTTTATTTTTTCTTCAGTAATTTGCATGCGGGATTCTGGTATGCATGAACAAGTGCCCAGTATGTTTTTCCAAGCCGCTGGGTCTGGAACTCAAACCATGCAGTCAGCCATGTGGGATCCAGCTGCCTTAATCACCAGGCCATGGGTTGCCCCCATCGAAATATCTTCTGTGAATATCTGAAGCCACAGAAATGCTTATGATACAACGATAAAGGAAAAACAACAGGATATAAAACTGTATCCTGTGACAGGATTCCAATCTTGTGGTCAAAATATTTACACATCTATTCATGGAAAACACCCAGAGACACGACCAGCTGGTGGGGCCCCAAGCCTGAGGAATGGTTAGTGTACACTCTGGGATTTTCACATGTTCTGGGTCTCCACTCAAAGCCACTCTGTCAGACAAGTGACCTGACCTCTCCATTCATAGTGCCCCCTCCACTCACTTGTTCCTTACTCAAGTTCATTTTCATCAGAGCCCAGCATCACCTGCCCTGGTCTACACTGGCAGGGTTACCATCTGTGTCCCTGCATGACAGTGAGGTCCACAGAGCCAGGATTGCTCCCTGCCATGTCCACACTGCAGTACAGCAGCTTCTCCGTGGGGTGTTGCTGAATGACCGAGGGAGAACATGCTGAGCTCTATGACCCAACTGACCTTCCTGTGGGCCCTACCCTTCACAGAACCCCCTCAGGCTCCTGAGGGCAGAGTGGGCGTGCTTACCGACTTTGAAGTTGGTGGTCTCCAGCGTAGGGCAGGTGAACAGCCTGGGAAAGACCATGTATATGGGGACAGAGAGGCTCCTGCAGACATCTCCGTCGGCGATCTGAATGTTCTGAATCTCTGTGGCATCACGGGCATAGCCTTCTGCACACCCTGGAGAAGGGAGGGACTGTTATGTGGTCGGGAATCAGCAAGCGTTAAAAACACTGAAAACTGCAGCAACATGCTCACCTCCTTCTCTGGTTTGCTCTATAGGATTCGAGACTTTCTCCCTGTCCACATCTCACTTCCCTCAAACATACGCTGATTGCAAGGAAGAGCCCCACTCTTACACTTGCTCCCCCTACGTCACCCTGACCACTGAGCACATGCAGCCCTTACCGCAGGTCTCCACACGGACCAGCTGCAGCTCTATGCTCCGGATGGCGGCCTCCGAGCTCTCTACCACTAGCTCTCCTGTGAGCGGCTGTGTGATGATGCAGTTAGTTGAGTTGAGGTGTCCTCTGATGAGAAATTTGGGGAGCAAAGCTCTCTAAAACAAAATGAAAACAAATGTATCCAGATCAAAGGAAAAATACTTGATAGCTGCTTTGGTTCAAATAAAAACTAGAAACAGGGTCGGCCAGTGGTGTGAAGGTTAAGGCAGCTGGATCCCACAAGGCCAACTGCGCAGTTTGATTCCCGGACCTAGTCAGTGGTTTGAAAACCATGCTAGGTGTGCTTGCGTTTGTGTCCAAGATCCCAAGAGGAAAAAGGAGGAGAAGGGATTGTGGTGTGGCCATCCATCCGGGGGGGGATTTCTCACTTTTCCTCTCTCTGTCCCTGTCTGGCAAGAACATGTACACTATAGCAAAAATAAAAAACCAGGTATCAAAGCTGAATAACTCTTATGCACTCCATCAGAACACTGTTTTAGAAAATGGGGGGAAAGGAACACTAGTACTTGCATATTCTGTCAAATTGGACAGACTGAATTATTCAACAACTGTTTTTATATGGAGGCACCTAACAGACCCCACCTGTACAGAATGACCACCTAGCCCAGAAAAACATCCTAAATGCCTAGAAAGTGACTTTTCACCAAGTGATCCATATAAAAAAGTCCAAGGAAGTTGCTAAGGGTGTTACCAAATAAGGCAAAGGCTTTTTTTTCTTCTGGATAATCTCGAGAATAGTTATTATTTATTTAGTTAGTTTTAGGTTTTTGCCATAGGGCACATGTGCTCACTGGAGAGAGACAGTGAGAGGAAAAGTAGAAAATCACCCCCTGGGGGGAGGGGATGACTGCAATCCCTCCTTCTCGCTTCTCCTTCTGGAATTGAGCATGCATGCCATGTGCCTGGCATGAATTTCAAGCCACCAGGTCTGGACTCAAACCACAGTCAGCCATTTTGGCGTTCAGCCCCTTAACTACCACGCCACCTGCTGGCCCCTAGAACAGTTATTTAATGAGAGAATTTACTGGCACTTATTTGGGAAAATAAAAAGTATTTACATTTGATTTACGACTTCCAATTTACAAAGCATAAAATAGTGACATAAGTTTTTGTAATAAGGTATTGAGCAGGAATTGATCTCATTGTCCCACACTGGTTTCTGGACTCAAGCAGGCCCCCATCATGGGCATATGTGTGCCCAGCACACTCAGGGAGGTCTCTAGATGCTAAGCTGGAACCCTCCCACGTCGGTCAGCCTCACAGAGCACTGATTTTACTGATGGCCATCATCTGGCTCCCCAGTTATGCAACTTAGAAAAGTCATGGCGTTAATTTTATCTCAGGGAAATTTAAAGAGAAGAACTTTCTCCAATGCTTAATGAAAAGTTTATGAACCTTTATGCTGTACATGTTGGAAACTGGCCAAGGGTGACTGGTGATAGTCTTTGTGGGAAAAATAGACCTAGAGGGCCAGGTGGTGGTGCAGTGGCAATGCAGCTGGACCCACACAGGAAAGGGTCCGGGTTCATGTCCCGGGAACAACCTGAGCACACCAGGAGGCATGAGCATGCCTGTGATCCAGGCTGGTTGAGACTGGAAGGGGATCAGTGTCAAGGCCCTGTGGGAGGTGCCTGTCCACCTGTGTCTATCTGTGTGTCTCTCTTTCTCTGTGAAGAAAAAAATAAATAAACTGAATAAGAAAAACAGGCCCAGAGAGTTAGAGACAATGTTCCCAGCAGTCTTTACCTCTGGCTGTGCCCCAATTCAGTTTAGTGCACTGCTGTCCAAGAGAAACAATGCAAACCACAACGTGAACCACACATGTACGGTTTTCTAGCGGCTACTATAAACACAAAAGAAAGAAAGAAAGAAAGAGAGAAAGAGAGAGAGAGAGGAAGGAAGGAAGGAAGGAAGGAAGGAAGGAAGGAAAGAAACAAGTAAAATTAACCAATATATATCCAACCAATATATATCCAAAATGTTTTCACTCCCACTATACGCAGTATAAAGCAATGAAGAAGCTGCCCCGGCCCAGCCCAGCCCGAGGCTTAGAAGTTAAGGCAGCTGGATCCCACAGTTAGCTGACGGTCTGAGTCCTAAACTCAGAAGCTTAAAAAACACACTAGGAACCATATGTGTGTTCCCGAAATCCTGACAGACGGAGAAGAGGAGAAAGGGCAGTGGCATAACCATGCCCCACTGGAGAGCCCTTCTCCCCTTCTCTACCCTCTCTGTGTGTGGTGAGTGCCTGCACCCTCTGGCAGATAAAAGACGATCATGGATGATGTCTTACACTCTCTTTTTCACAGTGAGTCTTTGATATCTGGTGAGTATTTCACACGTACAGCTCCTCTCACCGTGGCCCAGCCTCCTAGTCACATGGCTGGTGGCCACTGAGTAGGACAGCACAGCCTGAGCACTGAGGAGCGGGCCCTTTCATCTGGTGGCCCCAAAGATACAGACCTCTATAAAAGTCTGGATTCAAAACTGAGTTTTTTAAATGACTGAAAATAAAAGAAATTGTATTTTTAGAAAAATAGGAGCAATAGCAATTCATGTGAAAATTTAGACCAGCCTGGCCACTGCAGCGCTGACTGGCTGATGCGGCTGCTGGGCAGGCTAAGGCCACATGGGAGGCCTGGGTTCAATTCCCAGCCCACCCTAAAATGCTAGGAATGGCAGTGCAGGCCTATGGTCCCGACTACTTGGGAGGGTGAAGCAGCAGGAAGACAACAGAGAGTCCTATGTAAATACCACACACACACACACACACAAACACACACACACAATTCTTTTGGGCGACTGATGAAAAAAAAGAACTCTTTCAACATCCAGCTGATGATAGTGACTAAATACTTGCTTTCCCTCCTCTGATCTTATATTAACACACACAAATGGAAATAAACAGACACTGCTTCCCAGTCTGATCTCCAGCCTTTCAGCAGTTCCTGTAAGTCATCTTACATCCTTCCAATGGGTCTCTTCTCTTCTTATAAGACAAACAAAAAAATCGCCAGTGGTATTTTGTGACTAAGCATTTTGTTTGCTCTATGTGTGATTTTCTCATTTTCCAACAATGACCATGAGTGGTTCTGTCATAATAAAAGAACAAGTTCTTTTTCTTTATAAATAAACCAAACACCTAGGAGAGCTGTAAGGAACACCCTGGGGGATGACCCCAGTGAAGCAGTTATGTCTGATAAAAAACAGACTGACAGAAACTGCAGAGATCCAGAAAGCGCAGGCCTATGAGGCCCAGGGAGAATGGTGAGGCAAACTTGCTCGACGGGGCCATGTGGACAGTCTACGGGCAGAGGCCCTGAGGTGGGGGTGGGCGTGGGTACAGTCCCATCAGAGGGCAGGGAAGCTAAAGAGGCCAGTGCCATAGCTCCCCTCAAGGGGCCTTTCCACATTGGAAACACCAAAGCAGTCTCAGCTGGATAAGATAAGCACAGAGTCACCAATGGCCACAGTCACCAATGGCCACAGCGCAGGACAGCACGTCCCTAGACCCAGAAGACAGACCTGCACACACCTCCCTCCTAACGCACCATGTCAGGGAGAGCTTCTTGGTCAGGGTGTGCTGTGGCAAGGAAAATAGTTTTCCCCGGACTACCACAATACCATCCGTGGTGAGTGCCTGCACCCTCTGGCAAATAAAAGTTGATCATGGATGATGTTTTACACTCTCTTTTTCACAGGTCCTCATCTGAAAGTGTAAGCTGACAACCAAGAATCAATGAGCAAAACAATCAATGAGGAAAATAAAAACGAGAAGGGACAAACACTCAACAAACAGAAGAACCAATCCCTGAGAGTTAGAATCAACACAAGTGGAGAATCAACACAAGTGGAGATTTAAAGAGACTCCTGAGGGGCTGGCAGGTGGCATGGTGGTTAAGGCGTGAGACTGCCACATGCTGGCTGTGGTTTAGTCCCAGACCCGGTGCTTTAAAATCATGATAGGTACATGTGCGTGCGTGCCCAAAATCCCGAGAGGAGAAGGGGTCATGGCATGGCCAGATCCATGATGGGGTGATTTCTCACCTTCCCTCTTTCTGTCTGTCCGTCTCTCTCTCTCTCTTTCTCTAGCAAGCACATACACCCTATGGCGAACACCTCGCGGTTCAGGACGCAAGAGGGCGAAATCTAACTGGCTCTCTGGCCTATGTGCTCTCAGAAGCTGAAGGAGATGGAAATGGACAGAGTGGCTGTTTCCTGCTCAAGCCTTCCAAAAGGCTCCTGTGACATGCCCCTTGCTTCAGCTGTACCTCCCAAAGTACGAGGTCCACAACTGCTCTGGTACCCCAGTGCTCCCAGACTCGCCCTTACCCCTCATCTAGAAAGAATGATTCAGAAAACAAAATGCAGAATTTGAGTACAAAAGAAAAGTTACATCCAGAAAGAACTGAGGGGAGTCACTGCTTTCTTTGAGACAGGTTACCACTTGTTAAAAACCTGGGGAAGGTTAAAAACCTAAGAAATGGGGGCTGGCAGGTGGCATGGTCGTTAAAAGCACTGGATTCCCACATGGAACTGCAGTTTGAGTTCCAGACCTGGCAGCTTATTTTCTTGCTTTCCCTTTCTCTCTGGCTCTGGTCAAATTTTAAAAAATAATAACAAATGGAATTAAATAAATGAAAAATTCTTTTTTAAAAAAGTAAACAAAGGGACCAGCAGTTAGTGTAATGGCTATGTTGCTAGACTCCCATGTAGTCGACCGTGGTTCGAAGTCCCGGACCTGGTAGCTTAAACTCACGCCAGGCGCATGTGCGTGCGTGCCCAAGATCCCAAGAGGAGAATGGAAGAAAAGGTGCTGTGGCGTGGCCATCCCCCCCAGGGGGGGTGTGATTTCTCGCTTTCTGTCTCTCTGTCTCTCTCGGTCTCTCTGGTGAGTGCATGCACACTATAGAAAAAAAAAAAAAAAAACTAGGAAAGTGCTGACCCCATGGTGTAGCGATTGGGCCTTGTGGATGGGGAGTCAGACATGGCTGACTGTGATTCAAATCCTGGCCCCAATAACTTGAAAAACATAATAGGTGAGTGCGCATGCATGCCCCAAATCCCAATACAACAAAGAAATGGAGAAGGGATTGTGGTGTCAACACACCCCATTGAGGGGTGCTTTCTTTCTCTCTCTTTCTAAAAACAAATATACAAAAACATGTAGGGCAAACGTAGGGCCCTGGATAAGACTACTAGACCTAAGAGCAGAAGGAGCTGTGGTCTAGGCCAAAGCAACTGCTCAGTCTCCACAGTTCAGGCAGCTGTGGAGGCTGGAGCAGGGGTTGCCATGGAGGGCCAGCCAGCCCTTCTCCTACACAGGACCCAGGACACAGGGAAGGTAGGGCTGGCTTTGCTGGGACTCCTGTGTCCCCATCACACCAGCCCCTGCATGAGGAACTGCTGGAATCTTTACAAGCACTTTGCTGACCATTTTCTGTCAGATGGGAATGGTGATGGGAGAAACTGCAAGCTGGATATGAATAGAAAATACCAAGCAGCCAGGCAGCCAAGTGCAGGCTGTGGCTACTACGACGGACAGCTGGGCAGTGGTGCAGCTTGGGCCTGGGCCCACCATGCAGTAAACTAAAGAGAAAACAGTGAAAAATCACCAGCGCACACCTTCCTGTTAAAAAGTGTTCTTCTAAATCACTGTTAAGCATGAAAAGCAATCAAACAGAAAATACAGACTAACAGGGTCCAGAGAACACTTGAACATCCTCTTCCTGAAGACCTGATCCCTGAATAAAGACCAACCTGACAGCAGTGGGTGAGTGGGGGCTGGTGACTAGGGGCTACTGCGGCATCTCTGTGCACATCTTGTTACCTCTTTGACATTCTGCAAGGTCTCAGGTGTGATTGTGAAGTCCACGGGACTCGGAGTCAGCTTCCCCTTATGAGGCTAGAACAGGAGGTAAAAATGCAATTAGTGGGGTGAGGCCCAAAAGCTCAAGGGGTCACACAGCTTTTGTGTGACCTTTTACGAAAATGAATGGCAGCGTGATGAGCCAGCAAGGACCAGCTCCTAAGGGGCAGAGCACTTGGCCTGTAAACACTTCTGCAAAATATAACGTGTCCTCTATAGAATGTCTCTACCCTGAGACTCAGCGTCCTCATCTGTAAAATTCAGGGAAAGACATCTTAATCCCCAAGCTAACTTCCGGGTTAAGAATTGTATAATTAGGTCTCAGAACCAGAGTAGCATTACTGGGAGGTGTTGATGGAAGCCTTTCTTCCTAGAAGCGCTAACACTGGGGTGTCCAGCATGTGCTAATGAACCCATATGGTGACCCCTCGAGGTGCTGTTTACACCCCACAGATGCAGTCCCACTTCACAGATGAGGAAAGTGCAGCACAGAGAGCTCAATGACCCGCTCAACTAAGTGGCGGAGCTAAAAGCCACATGTCTCCTCAGAGGATCATACCTGTCCCATGAGTCTGCAATGTCACCAAGGTTAGTCGACAATGACCATCTTCCCATCACATTATGTCAGAAGTGAACAACAGCCAAGCTCCACGGTTCCTGCCTGGTGTCTTTTACTCAGGGACCAGGATCCAAAGGCAGCCAGTGCCCAGGGAGCCAGGGTGCGTTTGGGGTCGGACTGACCAATGTGCCAAGCTTACTCGTTTATTAGACGCTTATTCCAAGGAAGGTTCTTCTTGAACAAACTCTTTTAACTGCTAGGACCATGAATGCACTTCCCAGTGAATATTCACCCGCTTGCCAGCTAAAGGACTATTTAACTTGCAAACTGCACAGGCCACAGCACACCTTTAGTCTTTGGTGAAGCCATCCCCAAAGGCCACAGAGCAGGGGAGGGGGCCCAAGGGGGCTCAGAGAGTTTGGCCGTCCTACTGAAAGGGACTGTGCAGTCATGTGTGAGCCAAGCCGGCAGGCCTAGCCCAGGGCAGCAATCGGCAGGGCGCTGAATTTGGGATCCTCCTTCTTCTCAAAATGTAAGTCTCTTCGAATTAAGGACCTAAAAGGGTATGTGTCCCTTTTACAGAATAATGTACATTAAAAATATTTTTTGGCCTCTAGGAACAGCAGTTGGTGTAATGGCTATGATGCTGGACTCATATGTAGTCGACTGCGGTTCAAGTCCCAGACCCAGTGGTTTAAACTCACACTGGGCCTGTGTGCATATGTACCAAGATCCTGAGAGGAGAATGGAGGAGAAGGGATTGCAGCATGGCCATCTCCCCTGGTGGTGGTGGGGTGGTATGTGATTTCTCATTTTCCCTCTCACCATCTCCCTCTGGCACACGCATGCACCCTATGAAAAATAAGTAAAAAAAAAAAAAAAATTGGCCTCATTTTGAAGACCCTTAACAGAAAAAAAGGGAACCATATAACTTCCCCAAAATCCTAATACTTTGATTATACTGTATACAAATTTATATAACACAATTTTATCACTGAAAGAGACACCAAAACACTGTGATTATTAAAATTTAACTAAGGAGGGGACCCAGCAGGTGGCATTATGGTAAAGGGTGATGGACTCCCACGTGGTCAACAATTCGAGTCCCGGACCTGGTGGCTTATTTTCTTCTCACTTTCTCTCTCTCTCCCTCTTTCTCTCTCTCTCTCTGTCCCTCTCTGGTCAAATTAAAGTAAGTGAATAAATAAATAAAGTTAAATAAAATAATCCTTTTTTAAAAATTTACTAAAGAGGAAAGCTGCAAATGTAGGAAGTCCTAAAAAGTTACAAAAATGAAAATTTCCATAAATGAAGGACATCAGAGATTCTGTCAATCTTACACAAAAGAGATTTTAAGTTTTCCATTTTTACTTAATCATTACTTAATTCTATCCATGAATATTTCATAATAATGTAAGAGAAACACAAGTGCAGGGACCAGGTCCATAGACTGGTGATTAAGGGAGCTGGATCCCACATGGCCAAGCGCTGTTCAAATCCTGGTCTGGGCAGCTTGAGAAACATGTTGTGCGTGTATGTGTACATGCCCCAAATCCTGACAGAATGAAGAAATGGAGAAGGAATAGTGATGTTACCACATCCCATTGGGGGTGTCCCCCCCACCCTTTTTCTGTATCACTCTCTGGCAAGCAAATGTGCCCTCTAGCAATGTGGGGGGGAAAAAAGTAAAGAAAAAAATGTCTAGAGAAACTCAAGTGCAAATTTTACACAGAAAACGTGTCTCACAAAACCCCCTGTAAAAGCTCTCGTTTATTAAGGCAGGTGGTGAAGACTGGGAGAGTGCTGGATTCTGCTCTAAGGCACAGAAGCTGCAGGCTGCCTGAATACTCCCGTTCAGGACAGCTAGTGGCAGCCTGCATGTGCCACTGACATGGTCTCCAGCCTGTGGAGCCCACACATCTCGTGAGCAGTCTTTTCCAGTTCTTTGAGGTCTTTGGGAGCTCAGTCCCACGTCAGCCCAGGTGATGCCTGTCGGCAACAGCAGCCCAGCAGTTACTCTGAGGCTGTGCCCAGATACCACATCCACTGGTACCTGGGCTCTCCAGGAACTCAGAATTTTGCTAACTAATTAACCCCGTTCTTGACCTGCTCAGAATCAAACTGAAGCCAGATGTCTGGGGAGCAAACTGGGCTATAGCAGGCCCCGGGAAAGAGGGAAGGATGGGTCCTTATCGGAGCTATAAGCACTGCAGCCCAGGCAAAGGAAGGACTAGGGCATGGCAGCTTCTATGTGAAGCAGAACCTAGAGGGCCTGAGAAATGGCCAAGAGAGCCTATTGCTGGGGCAGGAATCTGTCACCACGAGTCACACCTGGAGTAGGCGCTGACCCAACTAGATCTGCATGACTGAGGAACAGCACCATACCAGCCAGAGACTCCACCCTGAATTCACCCATATTCATCTGCAGCAATGGAGGGGGGAAGCCCATCCCCTAAGCTTGCATGTGAAAGGGATTTTTTTTCACAGAACCAATCACAGATGTTCTGAAATTGGTGTGAGGAGAGGCTCCAGCAGATCCCTTTGCATCCCTGTTTGTCCTGCTGGGTATTTGCCAAGCATGCAATGTACTGACCATGCCTGAGCAGGCCCACTTCACCCAACTGTGTTCACCACAATGACCTCACGGGGTCAGAGTGATTCTCCCTGGGACACAGGGCAGGTTGCCTCCTGCTCCAGTAATGCTGGGTCCTCGGCCTGGTGTCCTTCAGCTGAGACACTCCCTGCCAGGTGGTGTCCATTTGGGCCCATGGCATCACCCATGGAACCTGGCCCACAGGGACATGCACGTGCTGCCGCTCTGGCTGCTGGTGGGCCCACGAGTCTAGTATCTTTTGACAGCACCCGTGGAACTGAAAGAGGCTAAATCATGAGTCTGGAAACTTATGGAGTTTATGGTCACTAAACAGCAGAGCCCCCCCCTCACCGCAGAGTGAACAATAAATTCGCAGGTCTTCGTTAGGTCCTTGGCCAGCAGAGATCGTCTCATGTCACAGCGCAGAGTGTACTGGATGGAAACATGGGAGAGGAAGAGGTCACTACAGTGGAACTGGCTCTCATCTTGGAATGATACACACATTTTGCTATAGGGCGCATGTGCTCACCAGAAAGATACAGAGACAGAGAGACAGAAAGTGAGAAATCACCCACTGGGGAGATGGCCATGCCGCCCTTCTCCTCCATTCTCCTCTCGGGCATGCATGCACATGTGCCTGGCGTGAGTTTAAGCCACCAGGTCCATGACTCGAAACCCCAGTCAACTACATGGGAGTCCAGTGACGTAGCCATTATGCTATCTGCTGGTCCCTTGGAATGATATTTGAAGAGACAAATCAGTCAGTGTATTTTAGGGAAACTTCATTCATTTACTGTGTCATATGAAACAGACATACATGATGGGAGGTGGTTAACGTCTGAAATAAAGGCATTTCTAAAAAACCAGACACACTTAAAGGTTATCCTTCAGGCTATTCTAGAGTAAGATGCACAGGCTTCCTTCTGATAGAAGGGGAGAGCAGAGCCAGAGAAGAGAGCAATGCACTTAGAAGCAGAAGCTGGTTCACTCCAGTTTTCCGCTTTACTGTGAGCCCAGGCAAACACCACAGCTCTCGGAGCTTCCTTCCTCCTCAGTAAAACAATGAACAGCGACCTTCCCTGAGAGCTGAAAAGATAACGTGCTAAGCATGTTACACAGAGCAGTGCTTAGAAACATGGCAGCTACTCTGTGGAAAGGATTGATAAGCAGTGCAGAAGTACTATAGGAGCCAGTTAAGGTGCTGGACTCCCACCCAACAAACCACAGTCCAAGTCCCAGACCTGGTGCCTGCTTTCTCACTGTCTCTCTCTGGGTCAAATTTAAAAACAATAATAATAAATAAAATTAAAAATAATTCTTAAAAAAATAAGTAAATAAAAAGCTATGTTGAGGGAGCTAGATCCCAGAGAGTCAACCATACGGTTTGAGTCCTGGACCCAGTGGCTTGAAAAACAAACCATGCAGCTCGAAATCCTGACAGAGTGGAAAAAGGATTGTGGTGACCATGCCCTATTGGAGAGTGTGTTTTTTTTTTTTTCCCTTCCCTATCTCTCTGTGTCTCTTTCTGGCAAGCACATATACCCTTTGGCAAAATTTTAAAAGTAAACATTAAAAAAATAAGCGGAGAGGGGCCAGCAAGTGGCATGGTGGTTAAAGCACTGGACACTTCCACATGGCCAACCATGCTTCAAGTCCTGGTCCTGGTGGCTTGGTTTCTCACTTTGCCCCCCACCCCCACCCTATCTCTCTCTGGTCAAATTAAAACGAATGAATAAATAAAATTGAATAAATAATTTTTTTTTAAAAGTGGACAGGAAGAGCATGGCACCACCCTTGATTTGAACTTAACCATACTCCCTTTCTCCACCGTCCTAAGAGCACTGTCTGGCGCTGACAATGCCAGTGCTCCTGCTGCTGGGCGGCCTGTTCTCCTGAGAGAGACCCCCCACTGCAGGGCTGGGGACTGTGCTGGCAGCAGGCTTTGAACTGGGGCCACAGCATTACATTCCCATCGGCAAACTGAGAGACTGCCTGAAACAAACTTCCATAGCATGATTGCTGTCTTAGTGCTAGTCTCAAAAAAAAAAAAAAAAAAAACAGCCCACATTTAATAGTTTGTTGTTTTAATCATCTAAAAAAAAGGATGGAATTATTTGAAATAATTGTCATAAACTAAGATGACACACATAATTGAATCTTAGAAGAAGTTACATTCTTAGAAACAATCCATCCAGGGACCAGCAGTTAGCATAATGGCTATGTCGCTGGACTCCCATGTAGTCGACCGTGGTTCGCGTCCTGGACCCGGTGGCTTAAACTCATGCCGGGCGCATGTGCGTGCATGCCCAGGATCCTGAGGGGAGAATGGAAGAGATGGGATTGCGGCGTGACCATCCCCCTTGGGGGGTGATTTCTTGCTTTCTGTCTTTCTGTCTTTCTTTTCTAGGAGGCCACCGTGCCCTGTAGCAAAAACCTCTCCAAAAAAAAAAAAAGAAACAATCCATGCACATGAAATAGGAAGTTACCATATATTTAAACATATTACTGGGTAAGATTTTTTTTTTTTAAGTTTTTGCCATTGGGCATAGACACTCGCTAGAGAGAGATGGGGAAAATGAGAACTAACCCCCTGGGGAGAGAGCTACACCACAATCCCGTCTCCTCCATTTTCCCCTTAGAATTTTAGGCACGTACATACATGAACCTACGATTTTCAAGCCACTGAGTCCGGGACTCAAACAATATTCTGCCATGGGAGTCCAACACCTTAACCACCACATCACCTACTGCCTTAGATGAGCACATTTTTTAAAAAAAGAATCATTTCTTGGCTGTAAGACTATTTATATGACATATAAACACTTGTTATCTCTGTTGAGATTTCCATCTCCCAACCAGACAGGCTCGGTGAAGCTGACGCTACGTAAGTCCACGGTACTACATACGGTCTCCTTCCTCTATATCCCACATACCACCCAGCACGGCCGATGCTTTGTCCTGGCTCACATAGCCTCTGATTCTTTCCCAGGAGGAACTTCCCCTTCCTCATTTTCAGTCTTGGATACAGGCAGGCTAGTCTCCACCCCCGCCAAGTTACAGAAAGGAGGGCCAAACCAGGACTGTTTCAGGGACCGCAGGAAAGGTTCTCTTTCTGCTGGGGTTGCCCACCCAGAAGATGTAGACGCTTGCTAGCAGCCAGCATTGCCAATGGTAGGGAAGAGCCCACCTGAGGATGAGGCCTGCACAGAGCAAGCCAAGCTGAGACCCAGCTGGTGCCCAGGCATCCCACCTGACGCCACTGTTCTCCTGAAATGCGAGTTCTAGTATCCAATATCCCTTTTCTGGCTAAGTCTATCTGAGCTGAATTTTTATAAGTTGTAAACAAAAGGGTGTGAATTACAATAAACTTTGGCCAATATCTGTTAAGTGCGACAGATTTTATTTAGTAATTTGAGGAAGAGGTGGAGCAAAGAGGAAAACACAGATTCTGTGTTCTAGGAAGGATGCTGAATTCTTTTGCAGGCGCCATCTCAATTGATTCTAACAATACTAAGATAAGCCTAAGATAAGGAGGGTTACCACTGATTCATGCACTCGATCACTCTGCAAGTATTTACCTAGCACATTCTAGTGCCAGTCACTTCCCATGAGTCCCCCATTAACCCTCCAGAGAGAGTCAGAGAGGTTGCTTAGGGTCACAGAGGTGGGATTTGAACTTCTACCTGCCTATTGCTAAAACCCATGCTCTGAAACCTTACACAATGCACGGTCCCTTAAGCCCAGATCTGCCTGTTGCACAGCCCTGCATCTTTTCACTTCATTGGGATCTTTCCCTGGCACAAGCAGTGATCCAGGTGGTATGAGCTGCAGGAGGTCAGAGGGGCAAGATTCAGTCTTTCCAACGGTCAATTAACAGTTTATCAACAGGAATAAACGAAGGCACTAAGGAGGGCCAGATCGTGGAACAGTGATAAAATGTGACGCTCGCTGACTCACACGGGACAGTTCTGGGTTCGTGTCCAGAGACCTCCTTGAGTACAACAGACACATGCAGCCCATGATATAGGGATGCCTGGGGCTGTGGCATCAAGACTCTTGGGTACGGGACCAGCAATTGGCTGGTAATGGCTATGTTGCTGGACTCCCATGTAGCTGACCATGGTTTGAGTCCCAGACCCAGTGGCTTAAACTCAGACTGGGTGTGTGTGCGTGCGTGCCCAAGATCCCAAGAGGAGAATGGAGGAGAAGGATTGTGGTGTGGCCATCCTTCCTGGGGGGTGATTTCTCGCTTTCTGTCTCTCTCTCTGTCCTTCTGGCGAGTGCATGCCCTATAGCAAAAACACCTCAAAAAAAACAAAAAAAAAAGACTGTTGGACATGCTGTCTCTTTAGCTCTCTTATGGAAGAAGTAAATACATAAACTTATAAAACAAAACCAAACAAAAGACACTTCTCTCTAGATTTAAAGCAGACTCCTAAAAAAGGGACTTTTAACTGTGAAAAAGGACAGGATCTCCGTAAATGAATCCTGAATATGTAATTTGAACAGTCATGATGGTACTGCTATATTTCATGGTGTGGTATAAAATCTTGCCAGCATGGCCACAAGAGTAGAACAAATATAATAAAACTTTCCTGCAATTTAAATAATCTTTGAAAGAAAAAGTTGCACAAGGACTGTGCACAATATCTAATAAGATGAAGATGAAAAATGAACACATGCCTAAGAATAATAAAAGAAATCATTTGTCCAAGAAATAATGAGCAAACTGAGCCCTGCAAAGTAGAAATTTTATACTGGTTACATTTTAAATCCTTCATTGTATATTATGACTTTTTTACAAATTTTACATTATGTTACTATAACACAATTTAAATTATAAATTAAAACTTTCCTTGCATCTATATAATTTGAGAAAGACAATATTAAGTCTTAACAATAAAACTATCCAAAGTAATACAACTATCATAATCTTTGGAGTAAGTACAGGAAGCAAGGGGTGACTAGAAGAGGTTTGACCTAAACACCCCTTTGGCTGTGTGGCCCTAGGAAGTCATAGCCTTCTCTGTGTGGCAGTTATTCCATTGTAAAATAAGGAAGCTGGAAAAAAACATTAATGATTGCATTACGGGGGCCAGCAAGTGGATTGGTGGTTAAAATGCTAGACTCCAATATGGCTGACCACAGTTCAACCTGGTGGTGTGCTCTCTCACTTTCTTTCTCTCTCATCTCTCTCTGGTGAGCACACGTGCCCAACAGCAAATTAAAATAATATAAACAAGTAACTTTTAAAAAATTACATCATGAATTAATAAATGGTAAAAACAGATTTATAAAAACCCATAATCCAAGTTTTTCTTAAGAATATTTCCTAATGTCTTTGTCTTGACTGATAATGCATGGTAATCATGCTGGAAAAAGAAATGTTATACACTGTAAAGATATATGTGATTAAATGTAATATAAAAAATATAGTAAGGGAACCAGCAGTTAGCGTAATGGCTATGTCGCTGGACTCCCACGTAGTCAACCACAGTTCGCGTCCCGGACCCGGTGGCTTAAAACTCGCGCCGGGCGCGTGTGCGTGCGTGCCCAAGATCCCGAGAGGAAAATGGAGGAGAAGGGATTGCGGTGTGACCATTGTCTCAGGGGGTGATTTCTCGCTTTCTGTCTCTCTGTCTCTCTCTGTCTTTCTGGCGAGCGCACGCACCCTATAGTGAAAATCTCTCCAAAATAAATAAATTAAATAAATAAATAAATAAATAAATATATAGTAATAAAATACAATTTTTAAAAATATCAAGGGGCCAGCAGGTGGCATGGTGGTTGAAGGCTCTGGATTCCAATATGGCCTACCATGGTTCGAGTCACAGATCTGGTTGCTTGCTTTCTTACTTTTCCTTTCTTCTGGCAGCTCACTTTCTCACTTTCCTTCTCTCTCTGATCAAATTATAAATAAATAAATAATTCTTTAAAAAAAAAAATGCTTCTCCCATGATGTTAGTTCTTTAAATAGGTAATCAAATTTAAGAAAAAAGAAGATAAAAATCACTAAGAAGCTGGGGTCAATATTCAGATGCTGTTTGCTGGGCGCGTGTGCATGTGTGTCCAGGATCCCAAGAGGAGAACGGAGGAGAAGGGACTGCGGTGTGGCCATCCCCCCGGAGGGTGATTTCTCGCTTTCTGTCTCTCTGTCTTTCTAGCGAGTGCACGTGCCCTATAGCAAAAACCTTTCAAAAAAAATCTCTTCAGGAAATAAAAGAATTTCCTCAAAAGCAGCAATGACAGGTTTGCATATGAATTGGGAATTAGATGTTATTTGACAATTTTTGTCAATTTTGATAGGTGTGAAAATGTGATCTATAGGAGAATGCTCTTATTTTTTTGGAGCTAGACAATGAAGTATTTCAAGATGAAGAATCAAGATTCCGTGACTTTGAAAGGACTCAGAAAAAATAAATAGAGATGAACAAAGATGCAAAATACTAATAAATGCTGAATGATGATAAGTGTAAGGGTGATAAGTTTAAGCCAAGAAGAAATATCTTCAGTTTTAGAAACTTATAAAATATTTGAGAGGTAAGGAATTCTGAGTTGGGGCCGGCAGGTAATGTGGTGGTTTAAAGGCACTGGACTCCCACATGGGAAGCCACGGTTCAAGTCTCATACCTGGTGGCTTACTTTCTCATTTTCCCTCTCTCTCTGTCTCTGTCCCTCTCTAATCAAACTGGAAAATAATAATAATAAATAAAGTTAAATAAAATTAATTTAAAAAATCCTTATTTTAAAAAAAGAGATCCCTGAGTTGTAGCATTGTTTAGTGTTTACCATGTGGTAAAATCTGATTATCAAAATTAAAAAGTGGGTAGGACCAATTATTTGCTTTACTCATACATTTACCAAGGGTTGGGTCAGCTATGTAGAGCAGTGATAATATGCTGCCCAAATAAGCTGGATCCCACCTGGGGGCCCCCGAAACACACTGGGCACATGTGCAGGTGCCCAAGACCCAATAGGTCGGACGATTAGAGAATGGGAACTACAGCATGACCAGGTCCTGTGGAGGATGCTTCTCTCTCTCTTGCGCTGTCTGTTTCTCACTCTCAGTCATGGTTTTAAATATGAAATGTTCAAAATTCTTTCATTCTTGCTAAGAAGGCATCTTTCATTCACTTTCTCTCATGATGGAAATAGTCCCAGCATAGACAGTTGTTCAGAAGACTCACGTCTGTGTAACAACAACTGGTATTTGTATGTCTATGTGAGCAGCTTCCTTGGAATACACACTCAATCCTAGGGTCACTTCTAGAGTTGTTCAAAGCCTTTGTGTGTGTGTGTGTGTGTGTGTGTGTCTGTACAGAACCAGGTACACTAATAATAAAGTACTAGAAACATGATTTTTCTTTCCAGAAAGATTTTTATTGCAATAGAGTACATTACACCATATGTGCTGCTGCTTTTTTTTTCCTTTATAGATTTTTGCCATAGGGTACATACACTCGCTAGAGAGAGAAAGAGAGAGAGAGAGCGAGAAACCACCCCCAAGGGGGGATGGCCACACCACAATCCCATCTCCACTCTCTTCTCAGGATTTTGGGCATGTACACACACACATGCCTAGCATGATTTTCAAACTGCTGGGTCTGGGGCTTGAACCATGATCAACCATGTGAAAATCCAGTGCCTTAACCATCATGCCAACTGCTGGCTCTGTATCTGTGCTTCCTCTTAACAGATCTCTAAGGCATTCAAAAAACTCACACAGAGTCAAACCTGTGGTTAATGCTTTGAGGATTTTTATTGGTAAAGTGCTACATTTTGGGACCAGCAGATGGCAAAATGATTACGACACTAGACTCCCATGTAGTCAATTGTGGCTCAAGTCCTTGACCCAGCAACTTCAAACTCAGGCTGAATGGGACCAGCAGTTAGCATAATGGCTATGTCGCTGGACTCCCATGTAGTCTACTGCGGTTTGAGTCCCAGACCCGGTGGCTTAAACTCACGCCAGGTGCGTGTGCGTGCATGCCCAAGATCCCGAGAGGAGAATAGAGGAGAAGGGATTGGAGCGTGGCCATCCCCCAAGAGGCGAGTTCTCACTTTCTGTCTCTCTGTCTCTCTCTCTGAATCTTCAGCGAGTGGACATGCCCTATAGCAAAAATCTTCCTCTCAAAAAAAAAAAAAATCACACTGAGCACATGTGTGTGTACACAAGATCCTGAGATGAGAATGGAGAAGGGACTGTGGTGTGGCCATTCCCCAGGGCGTGATTTCTCGCTTTTTGTCTGTGTCTCTCTGGCAAGCGCACATACCCTATAGAAAAAGTCACTCCAAAAAAGTGCTATCTATATATTTTTCAATAATTATTTTATTCAAGTTTACTTATTATTTTTTAATTTGACCAAAGAGAGACAGAGAGAGAGAGGCAGTGAGAAACCAAGCTGCCATGTCCGGGACTTGAGCCACAGTTGGCAATGTACGAATCCAGTGCCTTTAACCACCATGCTGCCTGCCAGCCCCCCTGCCCTCTCAAATAAAAAAGTGCTATATTTTAAGCAGGAGAATGGTATCTACCAAGACCAAAATATCAGCTAAAACTTGCTAACCCCCAAACTGTCCTAACCTTTAGCCCTCCTGCACATATGTAAGACTGAAGAGCTCTGTCTCATGCAGCAAAGGCACTGCTGCAAGGCTGGCAGCACCAAAGGACCTTTCTTTCCGCTGATAAAGGAAAGCCCTCTCTCTCGCTCTGAGCCATGACTCCTGCGTCTCCTGAGACAACAATAGCAACTGTGAAGGCCATCTTTAACAGCAGAGGTAGACAGGAAGTTGTAAGTTCCCTTCCCCTCATTTACAAGGTTTGTTCAATAGAGAATGCAGGCCTATGTCAGAATAGTAGCCTTTGAGCATTAGACAAAGAGATAGTTATAAGTATAAAACAGACAAGTTAGTGCTGCTGCCAGAAGGAAGTGGGGCATATCTATTACCAAACAACAAAAGCATCCCTTATAACAGTGTCAATGTGGCCAGAAGAGTCCAAAGAAAAAAGGAATTTTCAAAAAGAAGTTACAGCAAGGGTCTTTCAGGGCTTTTATCAAAAATAATGGTCACACATAAAAAGTACTTAGCAGGCAAAGTGAGAAATCAATAGAGAAAACAGAGGAGAAATCTCAGCAATAAATATGGTATTAAACTCTTGGATACTTTTACCCACTTTCATCAAAAGAAAAACCAAAACTGTTTTTCAGAAGGAAAACAGCATGGGATTAGAAAACTCACCTGAATGTTGACAAACACACCATGGTAAGTCTCATACAGGACTTTGTTACCCTTCACATGCAGAGGGAATTCAAAAGGAATTTCTGTTTTGCCACTGGGAAACTTTCCCGGCTTCACCATTTCTATGGTGCTGTGGATAATCTGGATAGGCTGTAAACAAAGATCAACGCAGTCGATCAGCACGCACCCTGTAGATGCCCTTTCAAATCAGAGTGTCTATGAGTCACCTCCTAAAACACACGACACCCTGAGCCCTGGATGCTACCATCCTGGTGTCTCAGGCAACAGTGCTGGGTCCAGAGATGAGCAACAATTTGGTTCTGTTTTGTGGCTCTGGCAAAATAAGATTCATTTACCAATATCAGATCCTTAGGTGCTTGGTACACAGTAGGAAATGAACTGATATGTCCCTATGTCCTCCCCACATACCTTCCTTAGTTGCCCTAACAACCCAATCTTCAGAATAAAGAGCAGAGTGGAGCTAAGGCTAGGAGGGCCAGTATGTGAACCTAGGGCTCCTTCTCACTCAGCCCTGGCTTGGCCCATGTCGCGCTCAGAGCCTGAACACCACAGCCTTGCAGGGAGGACAGGCCTGTCCCCCAGCCCTGTTGCCTGGGCAGACCTCGTCAGCTGGGCCTCCAAGGGGAAAGGAGGCACCAATATTTGGAACCTGTCTAAAAAGGAGGTGTTACTGTTTTTTAAGCTATGGTTTAGTGTCGCTGAGAAAATTCATGACTTACAAAGTAAATCTTTAAGTGGCAATGGATTAAAATAACTGTTGGAAAAGTATAAGAAGCCCCTAAATCTGAACACCGTTACACCCTCCTTCCCACTGATCCTCCACCTCAAAATAAATAAATAAATAAATAAATAAATAAATAAATGAATGAATGAAACATCAAGAACAAATACATCTTTCAGGAAAAGGATGCTATAAATATAGAAGAGCTTACATGTTGAAACACAAAAGTCTACCCTAAATGACAAAAAGAAAACAGCTACTTGCTCTATCCACATCTTACTTTAACGTCAAACCCAACAAGAGCAATACACACAGCTAATAAGATGAGTTTTGATTTAAGAAAGCAAGTACCATAAGCCACAGGCACAACTGCTCAGAAAAGCTTTGAGCTTTCTAGTGGCTGAAATCGGTCCATAGATAGTTCGCCTAATGTTATTTATAAAATAGGAATGAATATAAGCAGGTTTACAATAACAGGATATATTTAGAAATAAAATATCTGGGTTTTTTTTCCAGGTTGACTAGTAAATATTAAAAATATAACTATCACCATCCCTTGCAAAAATAACAATGGATAACAATAGAGACAGGAAGAGAGGATTACTATACACATTTCAAATGTTGAACTAAAAATTTGCAATGAAATATTCTTACCTTAACAGAATTATAGAAAGCTTCAAACACACCCACACTTTTGGCACTCAGTTGAAGGTTGACAGTCCCCTCCATTGTCAAAGACACTCCCTGGTGTTGAACTGAGTCCTTACTAGATATGACCACCACACCGGAGAGCACCTCCTGGAGAGGAAAGACAGTCACCCATCAGATAAACCTTTCACTTTCATTTACCTGTTTATCAGTAAAAAATAAATCTCCTTGACAATCAACCAATTAGTTTAAAGATAAAGGTGCTGGGGCCGGCAGGTGGCATGGCTGAACTCTCACGTGGCCGACTAAGGCTTGAGACCTAGACCCGGAGGCTTGCTTTCTCACTTTCCCTCTCTCTCCTGTGTCTCTCTCTGGTCAAATTAAAATAAGGAGCTAAATAACAATGATGAGTAAAATTAAACTTAAAAAAATTTTAAAAAGAAAGTGACAAAGTATGGACCAGCCCCATGGCATAGTGGTTAAGGGAGCCAGATCCCACATTGCCAACTGATTTGAGTCCTTGAGCTTGGAACCTTGAGATGTGCACTGAGTACATGTACATGCATGTCCAAAATCCTGCAGGATGAGAAACGGAGAAGAGATTATAGTGATACCTCGACCCAGTGGGAGATGCTTTCCCTTCTCCTTCTCTCCTCTTCTCTGTCTGTCTCTGGTGAGCATGAGTACCCTCTGCCAACTAAAAAATTAAAAAGGCAGGGTCAGCAGGCAGTGTGGTGATTAAGATGTTGGATTCCCACATGGCTGACCGTGCTTTGAGTCCTGGACTTGGTGGCTTGAAAATCATGCCGGGCGTGTGTACATGTGTGCCCAAAATCCACAGAGGAGAATAGAGAAGGGAAGGTAGTGTGGCTATGCCCCTTACGGGTGATTTCTCACTTTCCCTCTCATTGCCTCTCTGTCTCTGGTGAGCACACATGCCCAATGGTAAAAACCTTATAAAACATTGTTCTTAAGTTCGGATTTTCATTGTGATACCTGCATAGCAGGATGAGGAAGGTCAGTCACTGGGGACCAGGCATGCTTTGATAATGACAAGGCAGGCTGGAGGGCTGGGGTGCCCTTCCAAACACTTCTTTATTCTTGGCTGGGAGCCAATGTCTGATTTCAAAAGGCCTGTGGCAAATGGCGGGTTCACAGCGCTATTACACATGGGTGTGTGTTATGATCTCTTCAAAAGGAATACAAGAAAATAAACCCTTTCCTTAGGTTTTCTCAATTAGCTGACTGAAACAACTTCCTGTTTTCAATGGTAACTGGCTGTTGGCCCAGAGTCCTTTTAGTCCAAAAAGCCTCCCTGAGGTCATCTATACAACACCAGGGATCTTCAAAAAGTCCACGGAAAATGTATAGATTTCAAATTTTTTTGCACCAAAGTGAATTTTACTTTAATTCTATTTTGCCACAAGTTTTTTCATGTCTCTCATACATGAAGACAACATATCATTCCCACTACAGACAGTCCTCAGACCCTCGCTGTTCTGACTCACTTGACAGACACTGAGTCTTGACTCCCCTGGTTCATGAATCATTTGAGAACAATTCACAACAGACCATCTATTCATTTCTCTGAAGATAATTACTGAGTAAGAGAATATGGATGTTAGCTACATTCTGTATTAGATGGCAGTTTCTTCCTGTTACCACAAAACTTGATAGTCTCAATTTGTTATGGGGGTTCAAGCAGAAAAGGAAGTTGAAGAGATTAAATAGCACCAACCAGAGCAGAAGAAAATGTACAAGACACACAAAATAACACGTTTCCAAATGACCTTCAGCTCTTAATACAACAGAATGGCAGAAAACTGTTGACCAGAAAAAAACCAAAAACAACAAAAATAAAGATTGGTCTGCACATGAAAGCCTTAGAAAGCATTTGTCCCACTGGTGTGTAAGTGAAAAAAATTTCGCCAAGATCTTACAATATGTGGAATTTGGGGAGCAGGGATTATCCTATGTCCCTTAAATGTGCTAAAAACTCCACTCCCCATCCCAAAGTCATAAAAGTCTAAGTCAAAATAAACACTATCATCTCTACTTTAAGCAGAATCCAAGAAGGAGAGAACAGAAGAAAAAGCTCATAAGCAAACTGAAATGAAACTTCCTCTAAAATAGTTTCAGTTCTAAATTTAATCAAAATGAACTCTATTAATTTTTTGTACAATCCAAATCAAATAGAAATGTGATATTCTTTAGTTACCAGAGGGCATATACATAGCCAGAGACAGTGAAACAGATTTGGGGGTGAGGGGAGAGAAAGCACCTCAACTAGGGTATGGTCATGCTATAATCACTTCTCCTCCAACTCTCCATCTTGTCAGGATTTGGGGGCACGCATGCACGCACATGTGTCCAGAGTGTTTTTCAAGCCACTCAGGCTGGTATTCAAACTGTGGTCAGTCATGTGAAATTTGGCTCCCTTAAACCACTAGGCTATGGGACCCAGCCCTAGAAATCTACTTTTTAAAAATATAAATTCAGTGGTATATTTTTAAAAATTAACTAGCATGACCCAGAAATAAAACTGAACAATAAATTAGGTCATTGGAAACGTCATGATGTATTTTTCTGGTTTTCTATGCAAACATACATCATATCTTTCCTGAAGACCCAATCATTTTGTGGACTTTATCAATTAAGCAATGCAGTAGCACTTGAGAATAGGTCCTATGTAATCATGACACTGTCCATTAATTTCATGGGGACAGATCTCTGCATTGACCACTGAGGAGCATATTATAATGATGACATCAACAGGAGCCTTTTCCATACTAAATCCCTGTGGCATAAGAAGAAAAAAGCTGTAAAGTATCTTCTTGGAAGTAAGCAAAGTAAATACTTTGATTCTTGTCATTCTTTGATTTAACTAAAAATATAGTAGAGAAGATACAAAACTAATATATTTGTAGATAAACTTATTCCTACAATATATGGGTCTATTCGATTCCTACCAATATGAAGATAAAAAATTATTCCAAGTATACCCAAAGAGCCAAGGAGTTTAGAAACTTAAGATGGTTCAATGCAGAGTTAAGACCCAGTCTAGAGAGAGATAACTGACCTTTTTCTTTTTTTTAATTTGCCAGATGGTTTGTGTGCTCAACAGAGATAGACAGGGAAAAAAAAAGAGGGAGAAAGCACCCTTCACAGGGAATTGTCATGGCACAATCCTTTCTCCTCCATTTTTCACTCCTGTCCAGATTTTGGGCCATGCATGCACATGCGTCCACCATGTTTCTCAAGCCACCTGGTCTGGCACTTGAACCATGTGATCAGCTATGTGGGATACAGCTCCCTTAAATGCCACAGGCTGTCCCTAACAGACAGTTCTTTATTAATTCTGGCAAGGAAGGATAGGATGAATTTGAGAAAGTGAAATTTAAAACACAAAGACCTCACTTCCCCTTCAGACTTCTGGCTATACACTCAGGAAGAGAAAGTAATGGCTCTAGGTATTACTAATTTCTCACTCAAGAGAATAGCAGGGACCATCAACTGGGGGGTGAGGGGGGCATGATTACAAAGAGAACTCTCACAGACCTAAGAATGGCAACAAGCCCAAAAAAGATACATGAAAATCATGTGCAAGTGTGCTCTTTAAAAAAAAAAAAAAAAAAAAAAAAAAAGAGCCATAGCTTTTGTTTGTCATCCCCACAGAGGGAGTGATTTCTTGCTTTCTGTCTCTCTGTCTGTCTCTTGTCTTTCTGGCGAGTGCACATGCCCTATAGCAAAAAACTCTCCAAAAAAAAAAAAAAATAGAATAAGACTAAGATGCAGATGATAATTATGGTGAGAGAACAATGCAAAATATGCATCCTGACAGCATAAAAATTATTTTAAAATACTAGTGGAGAGAAGAAGGGAGCAAGAATGTAGAAGGTAGTATAATATACATGGTTTCTCATCTTTGACAGCTGGGACTTTAAAATATGTCATTAAAACCATACTTTGGACTCAACCTCTATGGAACAGCTGGTAGCATAATGGACGGTGGAGCTGGAAGCCACATCCAAGTGCTGTGCGATTTCCTGGCCCAGTCAGCCTGAAAAACACGCTTCGTGAGCCGTCATGCCCAGAATCCTGGCAGGCTGGAAGGCGGGAAGAGGATCATGACGTGACTAAGCTCTGTATAGAGTGCTTCTCTCTTTCTTCTTCTCTCTAGTGTGCTCATACTCTCCATCATGAATAAATAAGAAGAAAACATACATTTTGGGGTCAAGTAGTGACACAGTGGTAATGCAATGGGACCCACATGGGGAGATCCTGGGTTTGCATCCTGGAACATTGCTAACCATGCCAGGCATGCCCATGTTCAAGGCCACCTGAGACTGGGGTTTGATCAGATACCAAAACATCAATAAAGATATCTGTACATAACTAAGGTCAGGTGATGGAAGAGAAGAAGAAAAAAAGACGAAATATGCTAACATATCATTGTAGTAGGAAATTTATAAATGTCTAAAACATGAACTTATAATAAAGTAAGGTCATAAAAATAAAAATTAGAACAAAATTAAACTCCAAATGACAGGACCAGCACATGGCATGATGGTTATGTCACTGGACTCCCGCGTAGTCAACCACAATTCAAGTGCTGGACCGGGCTGCTTAAAACTCACACTTGGGACCAGCAGTTGGCATAATGGCTATGTCGCTGGACTCCCATGTAGTCAACCGTGGTTCGAGTCTTGGACCCGGTGGCTTAAACTCATGCCAGGTGCGTGTGCATACATGCCCGAGATCCCGAGAGGAGAATGGAAGTGAAGGGATTGCAGCGTGTGTCATCCACCCAGGGTGGGGGGGTAGTGATCTTGCCTTCTGTCTCTCTGTCCTTCTGGCGAGCACACACACCCTATAGCAAAAACCTCACAAAAAAACACAAAACAAAATAAAACAAAAACCTCACGCTGGATGCATGTGCATGCATGCCCAAGATCCTGAGAGGAGAATGGAGGAAAAAGGATTGCAGCATGGCCATCAACCCTGGGGGGTGATTTCTCACTTTCTGTCTCTTTGTCCTTCTGGCGAGCACACACACCCTATAGCAAAAATCTCTCTTAAAAACAAAAAGTCCCAAACGACTAGAAAAATCATACAAACAACATAAAGAAAAGAAAACAAACTGAAAAGAA